AGAGCATTCATCTGGGGAAGCATGGAGGGGGGGGGGGGAAACCTCACCTGGTGGATTGGGACACAGTCTGTCGACCCAAAGACGAGGGAGGCCTGGGCATGCGTTCGGCGACAAGAACGAACGAGGCATACATGATGAAGATAGCCTGGAGACTTAGCACTAAACCGGAGGAGCTCTGGGCGCGGGTAATCCTAAATAAGTACATGCGCTCGACTGAGGAAGGTCTCATACCGCGGAGGACAGGGAGAATATCGAATCTATGGCGGGGGGGTACTGCGAGTGTGGCACAGATTAGGGGAGGCTTCGGTTTGGAACATCCGCAATGGACGTACAGCCAGATTCTAGACAGATCGCTGGCTGAATGACGGGAAACCATTGGCTACATATGCTCAAGCTGTCCCGGAGTCGGCAAGGGATCTCCCGGTGGCGGATTTCGTACTCAACGGGGATTGGAATCGTGATTATATTAACCATTTTTTACCTGCTGTTGTGGCTTCGCATGTGTTCCTCCACTCAGTACCGATGGAAGCAGAGGAGGACGTACGATGCTGGCGGTTCTCACCGGACGGAAGATTCACCTTCAAGACAGCCTACGAAATGACGGGAGAGGAGAACCAAAGCCACCTACACCGACACCCTAAGTGGCGCACGACGTGGAGAATCCCGATGATGCAAAGGATGAGGTCATTCATGTGGTTGGCCAACCACAGCCGTTTACTCACCAATGCGGAGCGGAAAAGAAGACACCTCACAGAGAATGACGAGTGCAAGATTTGCGGCGGAGGTCCTGAAACCACGATACACGTACTTCGGGACTGCCCGTACGCAAGGGAAGTCTGGGCAGGGATGCTTCAAGAGGAACCGGACCAAGATTTTTTCGAGCCCAGTCTCGACCGCTGGATTTACCATTACACTTCGGGGCGTGGTCACTCAATTGACAACACTCTCTTCACGTGCATGTGCTGGCTGCTGTGGAAAAATCGGAATAATTTCTGCTTCCAAGGTAAGTTGGACTCCTGGGCACATATTCAGGCTAGCTCGGCGCGAATTCGGCACCAAATCTTGAAAGCCGCGGAGATTGAGAAAGAGGTAATCGGAGCTGGGGGACTCCGAGCGCCTGCGCTGATCCAATGGCAGCTACCGCCTCGAGGGTGGGCTTGCCTCAACACTGATGGATCGGTGATTCACGCTCCAGCAAGCACGGTGGCCGGGGGCGTCGTCAGAAGGGACGATGGGCGCTTCATCGCTGCGTTCTCCATGAACCTTGGGGGGGGGGGGTTCCATCACGAGCGCCGAGCTAGTAGGAATTGTGCACGGGTTACAGCTGACTTGGGAAGCAGAAATTAGGAAGGTATTTTTGCAGACAGATTCAACCACGGCTTTGAAGCTCATAGAGACAGCTACACCGCATCACTCACACTACACATCTGTGGCAGAGATCAGACGTTGGCTTAGTTGAAACTGGCAGGTCCAGGTTCACCATGTTTTTAGAGAGGCAAATGTGGTTGCCGACCACCTAGCTAATTCGGGGCATGTGTTGCCGATTGGTTTGCATAGAGTTACAGCGCCTGACAGTACGTTAGCGTATTGGCTGTACCATGACTGTATTGGGGTCCAGACACCCCGGTCTATTCCAGTATAAAGGTAGGGACGCCTTTTAAGCGTTCCGCGATTCTACCAAAAAAAATAATTTCAGTCAACCATCTCGTTAAATAAGGAAAGAGCAAGAGAACACATAACTTTATATGTAGCCAGTCCACAACTCAAAGCCTAAAATACCAAGCAAAGCTAGCCCTTACTGCAATTCCCTTGTCTAACTCTGCCTCCAGAGTTAGCCGATAGATCCATCGGAAATCGAAATGGCTCCCTTTGATTTCAAGTCCAACAAACACTTTGTTGCTTCATCTGATGGGGTTACCCTCCAAGTCTACGAGTTGACAAAGTCAACTCTCACTCACCCATCTTCCATCCGAAAGACACATTGGAGGGAAGTAGCCAACATCAATACCAATCTCGATGGTGACGACGACGGCGGAGGCGATGATAACACGGCGGATGAAACGAGGACTTATGTGTTAGTATCAAAACACTCTTATCACAAAACGTATACGAAAACAAAGAGGAAAGCACGAGACACGATTTACGTGGTTTCCCCGATATCGGGACTATTCCACGGGAGAGCTAGAACTCTCCGAGCTTGAATCTTATTCTTATTTTCCTTGACTGTTTACAACGTGATGCTACCCTATAAATATGCCGCCAGCCCTAGCTCTTCAAGACTCCTGCTAGGGCTTGACTCACGGCCACAACTCCTCAAACAACCGACACTCATTAATGGGCTATATACAATGGACTATATACAAAGGTATGGGCCTAATCCGCTAACAGCCTCCCCCAAATTGATGCTGGTCCCGAAGCATCAATTTGTCAGTAAGATAACAATGGCGAGAACGATGGAAAGGCTTAGTGAACAAATCAGCCAACTGGTCTGCGGAAGAAACATGTCGAACCACAATGACACCTTCTGTTACCAAGTCCCGTATATAATGAACGTGAATCTCAATATGTTTCGTGCGATCATGCAAAACCGGGTTAACGGCAATCTGAATCGCACTGGTGTTGTCGACGTGAAGAGTAATCGGTGACGGACAAGAAATCCCCAAGTCGGAGAGTACACGCTGCATCCATACTAGCTCAGAGGCTACATCTGACATTGCTCGGTATTCCGCCTCAGTGGATGACTTAGAGACTTTATCTTGCTTACGACACCGCCAGTTGACAAAAGTACCACCAAACTGGACACACCATCCAGTAGTCGAACGGCGAGTATCTACACACCCGGCATAGTCAGAATCCGAGTATGCGCGCAAAGTACAATCTCCAGTAGCCGGGAAAAACAACCCGACGTCACGAGAACCCTGCAAGTAACGAAGTATCCTATGCACCGCGGCAAGGTGATCAACACGCGGATCAGACATAAACTGACTTACCACATGAACTGCAAAGGAGATGTCTGGACGAGTATGTGTCAGGTATATCAAACTGCCAACCATATGACGATACTGCGACGGATTAACCAGGGGTACACCAGACTCACGGCCAAGATGAAGATTGACTTCCATGGGAGTAGAAACTGGAATGCAATCGGCAAACTGAGTGGAGGATAAAAGGTCAGTGATATATTTCCGTTGACTTAGAAGAATCCCCCGGGAAGATCGAGTGATTTCCAAGCCAAGAAAATAGGATAAAGACCCCAACTCCTTCAATGTGAACGATGCATGAAGCCCTTTCTTCAACCGCTGGATGCCAAGCACATCATCGCCTGTGATGATCATGTCATCGACATAGATAAGTAGCACAATACGACCCGCCGAAGTAGACTGTAAAAAGAGTGAAGGATCATTCCGGCTCTGCTGAAACCCCAGAGCAATCACTGTCGACTGAAATTTCTCAAACCAGGCACGAGGTGCCTGTTTGAGACCATAGAGAGAGCGCTGTAGTAGGCAAACCTGATCATCACGACCAACCGTATAACCAGGAGGGCGTTTCATGTAAACAACCTCCTTTAAATCCCCGTGAAGAAACGCATTCTTCACATCGAGCTGAAAAAGAGGCCAATGTCGAATCGCAGCCACTGCCAAGAGAGTCCGAACTGTTTGCATCTTCGCTACCGGGGCAAAAGTTTCATCATAATCAAGTCCATACTCTTGCCCAAACCCCTGAACCACAAGACGTGCGCGCTTGCGGTCCAAAGTACCATCCGCCTTCATTTTTAGGGCATAAACCCATCGATTACCCAAGATCGGAACTGACGGTGGAGGACGGTCTACTACCACCCATGTATGTTGTGCATGAAGGGCATCAAACTCCTCGTTCATCGCATTATTCCAGCCCGGATCATCCTTAGCCTGTTTATACGAAGTCGGAATAGTGAGAGCATCCACATGATACGTAACAAAGTCATGATACCGAACTGGAAGCTGGCCTTGAGTAGACCGAAGAGATCGTCGAGGAACCAAAGGCGGTGAAGGCGGAGACATGGAGTCCGATGAAGAATCCGCAGACGAGGACCCTGGCGAAGATGAGGTGGAACTGGCAGCTGGGGACGATGGGGCAGGCGAATCGGGGGGGAGCGTGTGGTCATCCTCGGTCTCCTCATCGTCGTCAAAAACGGGCAGCCGGGTCACCTCAGACGAGAACATTGGAGCTTCCTCAGGGGGGCTAGGGAAAAACATAAGACGCTCAAAAAAACAACATCACAAGAGATACGAAGACGTTGAACACTCGGGTCATAGCATAAATATCCCTTGTGAATGTCACTATAGCCGAGAAAAACACAACGAGACGTCTTGGAATCTAACTTGGTACGTTCTTTACGGGGAAGAAGCACGAAACAAGTGCACCCAAAGACTCGGAGACGTGAGTAGTCCGGATGCTTCTTGAACAAGGCATAATGAGGACTAAGCTGACCGAGAATCGGAGTAATTTGGTAGTTAATTAACCGAACGGCTGTGGCTACAGCCTCAGGCCAAAACCGACCCGGAACACGAGAAGCAATGAGCATAGCTCGAGTAAGTTCAACTACGTGACGATTCTTACGCTCGACAAGACCATTCTGCTGGGAGACACCGGGACAAGATTTCTGAGTTAAAATCCCCTGAGACCTAAACAAACTAGCTAACGGATTGGAGCTAAATTCCCCCCCAGGATCAGAACGAATGATACGCACAGTTTGACCGAATTGAGTTTGAATCATTTTCAAAAAATCAGTAGCAACAGAGAGAAGGTCGGATTTGAGACGAAGGAAGTAGACCCAGGTAAAACGAGTGGCATGATCTACGAATAAGGCAAAATACTTGTAACCATGACGAGAATCAGTGGGAGAAGGCCCCCAGAGATCGGTGTGAACGATGTGAAAGGGATCAAGCACTACTGTTGTACTGGAAGGGAAGGAACGACGAGTGGTTTTAGCTTCGACACAGCTTGTACACTGAAAATTACCGGAGGCAAAATCGACCATTTTATTTCCAAAAAGCTGTTGTTTAAACATGGTTACAAGCCGACTCGAATGGGGATGACCTAAACGCGAATGCCATAATTCAAACTCACTATTCGGCAAACTAGAAAAAACAGGAGACGAAACCAAAGATTGAGACTCAAGAGAGGACTGCGACCCAGAGGAATGAAAGCCCGACGAAGATTGAGGTTGACCTGACAATGCCTCCAGCTGAAATACCCGACCAAGTTTACTCCCCCTTCCGATCTGCCTCCCCGTTTTCAGGTCCTGAACAACACAACCCGAGGGTTCGAACACAACACGACAATTTTGCTCAGTTAATTGTCCAACGGAAACAAGATTAGGAACTAGTTTCGGTACACATAGAGTATTAGATAAACTAATTCGTGGTGCAACAACATCTCCAATACCACTAACAGTAAGCTTGTCCCCATTAGCAACTTGAATACCACAAGATTTAGTAGATTTAAGCTTCGTAAATTGATGCGTACTACCGGTCATATGATTAAAACATGCCGAGTCCAAAAGCCATGGAAGTGTTGACGTACCAGAGTTATGCAGGGAGGCAAAGGCACTTGTGATGGCTGTGGGTAACGAACGTTGCAGCGCGGAATGGACAAGCTGCTCCACGGCCTCGGCAGTCATATACGGACTCGGAGTAGCTTCAGCAACAGGAACTGGTTGAGCAGCAAAGGCACCACCAGTTGGTGCGGCAGCAGCGGCACGAGACAGACCAGACGAACGGGGCTGAATTAGGCGGCACTCGGTGATGATATGTCCCTTCTTCTTGCAATATACGCAGAAATTGCGTTGGCGACAGAACTTTTGATAATGGCCAGCAGTGTGACAATGATGACATATAATTTCAGACATGGGACGTTGAAACCGAGGGCGACTGATTGCAAAAGCTTCATCACCACCAGAGGGAGCTGAAACGGGACGCTGTGATGGGGAACCGGTGGTTTTGGGAGCTGAAAAGTCGAGCCATGGTGCGACGAACGCCAGAGTGGCCACCCATCGGTCCATCATGGAATTCCTGAAGTACAGTAGTCACCAAACTGGATAGCGGGGGAAGAACCACTCGGCCACGGTAAAAAATTAGCCCGACACGAAAAGTAAAGTGGCCAGGATCAGTAGAGAGAGCTTTCTCCTTCATTGACTGTAGGTACGGATTTACCAATACTGCCGCCCATAGCTCCTCCCATAGCGACGACACCGATCGAGTAATGGCGCCTAGCTGCGCGCCTGTGGATACTCGAGCAAGGCATCGGCTGCCCGATTACTGGTGCCCGACCGGTAATGGATTTCATAGTCAAATCCAAGCAACTTACTCACCCATTTATGCTGATCGGGAGTCGCAATCCGCTGTTCCAAGAGATACTTCAAACTCTTCTGATCGGTATAAATATGAAATTTCTGACCCAACAGGTACGGACGCCAGGTTTGAACAGCAGTAATGATGGCGTGCATCTCTTTTTGATACATGGACCATGCTTCTTTCGCCAGCCCCAAGGTCTTGCTCATGAAGGCAATTGGCCGCCCTTCTTGGGACAACACGGCCCCAATTCCTCTGCCCGAAGCATCGGCCTCTATTACAAATGGAATGTCAAAATTCGGCATAGCGAAGACCGGGGTTGACACCATTGCCTATTTAAGATCGGCGAAGGCTTGACTGGCTGCCGCGTTCCACACTGAAATCCACCCTTCTTCAATAGCTCAGTCAATGGCTTCACGATATGGCCATAATTTCTGACAAATTTCCGATAATACCCGGTTAATTCGAGGAAACCCCGTACCTCATTGACATTCTTCGGCTGGGGCCAAGCGACCATGGCTTCGATTTTTCCTGGGTCGACGCGGACACCATGATCCGATATAAAGTGACCCAAATACTCGAGCTCGCGGAGACTGAACACGCATTTCGAAAACTTCACATAATACTGCTGGCGTGCCAGGATCGTGAGGGTCTCGCGCACGTGCTGCAAGTGATCCTGCCAGTTCGCACTATAAATTAGAATATCATAAAATAAAACCCAGTACGTACCGCCGTAAGACGCTGCAAAATAGATCATTCATTGCCGCCTGAAAGGTTGATGGTGCGTTGCAGAGTCCAAAGGGCATAACGAGATATTCATAATGACCGTTATGCGTTCGAAATGCCATCTTGTGGGCATCCTCCTCGTGCATACGGATTTAGTGGTAGCCTGCTCGCAGGTCGAGACGCGTAAAGAACATCGCGCCGTGGAGTTCATCCAACATGTCCTCCACTATAGGAATGGGGTACCGATCTTTTATGGTAACTTCGTTGAGAGCCCTGTAATCGGTGCAGAAACGCCATGTTCCATCCTTTTTCTTCACCAAGAGTACCGGGGATGAGAACGGACTTAGACTGGGTCGGATTAACCCCGCCACCAACATTTCCTCAACCTGCTTCTCAATTTCGGCCTTTTGATTATATGCATAACGATATGGCCTGACATTGACCGCATCCTCCCCATCTCTCAATTTCATGCGATGATCAACGTCTCTGCGAGGCGGCAACGCGGAGGATGCTTCGAACACTGCCTCAAACTCGCGCACCAGCTCGCGCAACTCAGGTGGGAGGGGCTCGATCTCCGCTGCCTGAAGGGGCCAGCAAAGCACCCACACGACCCCGTCCTCGTGCACAATTTCAGCTGCCGAGGCCGCCGTGCGGCGTTGGTGGATGCCCCGGAGCGACAACTCCTTATCACGCCATTTAAACTTCATAGTTAGAGCTCTCCAATCGCACGTAACCGGACCGAGTTTGGCCAGCCATTGAATGCCGAAGACCATGTCCATCCCTCGGATCGGCAGGATATACAAGGAGACGACGAACTCTTCGCCTTGAATCACGACCTTCACATCGTCGCACCTGCCCCGGCAGCGCATCGGCTCACCGTTTGCTATCCGCTCCGAGAAGGGTGCTATGGGTGCGATGCCCAACCGCATCTCCTCAGCCTTCTGCTCCGAAATAAAATTATGGATCGATCCGTTATCGACCAGAAGAATTGCATGCACATCCGCTACTTGCGCGCGAAATCAAAGGGTTCGAGGACCATCAATTCCCTCCGCTGCGTTGAGAGACAGCTCCACCTGCTCACCGGCCGAACCATCGTCGTTGGTGGCAACGTCGGCCACGCTGTCGTCGCTCCACGATCCGCCGTCGGTGGTCTCGCATTCCGGCTCGTTTAGCCAGCCGGTCAACTATCGTTTGAGGGCCCGAATCTCCACGGTCATGTCGAGACATGCCGCCGTCGTACGCTTCGCCGCCGTTGTATAAGCCTTGGCGCAAGCTCCCACGTCCACAGTCATGGCTCTGATACCAATTTGATGGGAACGTAACCCACGTTCCAAGGGTGTTTTCCTGCTAGGCGCAGAAAGAAGCCTTTAGGGTTTGTTTGGGGTAAAATTCATACCTTCTCCATTCCACTCCGTCACATAAATAGTGTTTGCGTACAAATAATATGAACCAATAATAATCAACGTACTAACAATAATTAATAATAATAATCGTCATAACGACTACTGGGCTTGGGCTGTCGTGCGGACGTCCTCCTCTGCATGGGCTGTGGCCTGGACGTGGACGTGGTTCCATCACTCTCGAACTACTATTCTCGGCGGATCGAGGATAGACAAGCTATATATTCAGGCTGTCCCCATCAAACAGAAACCTGCAAGTGGCGTGAGATGCTGGGACCACTCCACAAATTGTTGCTACAATGTTAAAAACAGATTATATGTTGGCCATTGAAGATCCTCCGGAGGAACCAGAGTTGGAAGACCAGGTTGAAGAGGTTTCTGTAAATCCATCAATATATAATTGGAAGGCTATATGGAAGGTCCAATCCCCACCAAAGGTACGTTTATTTTCTCTGGAAGTTGATGCACAATATTCTCCCAACGAATGTCAATTTAACCAAAAAGATGGAGAGTAGATTTACTCCGGACGGCCCGTATTGTGGTCAAGAAGAAACCCTTGTTCACAGATTTATAGAATGTGATTGGTCGAGACGTATTTGGAGACAATCTCCATGGCCATATCAATACAATTATACGGAGGGGGGAAGAGTTGCTAGAATGGGTGAACAGGGTAATCACAACTGCTGACTCTGAAACGGCGAGCGATATAAGCTCTCTCTTGTGGGTTATGTGGATTGAACGCAATAATGATAAAGAAGAATCGGATTGGGAATAGAGAAGAAGAATTAGGGATTGGAAATAGAATTGGGAAAGAACAGAGAGAAGAGGGATTTAGTGATTTTGATATTCTTATTGTTTAACCTCAAATGAATGTGCAGAACCCTATTTTATGTGTTTCAGCAAACTAACACAAAATAACAAAAATGTCATCACAACCCGGCCCAACCGGCCAACCCAACCCGACCCCTACCCGCCCTGCGGGTCTCTATCATCCCCTTCCCCATCAGAAACGACCTTGTCCTCAAGGTCAAATGTCGGGAAACGCCGTCGTAGCATGACCGTCTCCTCCCAAGTAGCATCCTCGTGCGCCATGTGCTGCCACAAAACCAAGCTCTCCTCAATCATGCGCCCTCCCTTCCGAACCCATCTGGTATCCAAAACCTGTACCAGGGTCAATATAAGGTCCCCATCCGCAGAAACTGGTGGAGCAGTAGTCTCAACCCGGTCCGCGGCCCCTCTGTAACGCTTCAGCTGTGAAACATGAAAGGTAGGATGGATACGAGCATCCGCCGGCAAGTGAAAACGATAGGCCACCGGATTAATCTTCTGCAGCACCTCATAGGTACCGAAATAACGAGCTGCCAGCTTCTGATAGGCCCGGCGGAAAACGGAAGCCTGCCTGTACGGATGAAGGCGAAGCAGAACCCAGTCTCCTACCTCGAACTCCTCCTCACGTCTGCCTGCATCCGCCATTTGCTTCATCTTATTATTGGCAGCCGCCAGATTGGTCTTGAGCTGCTCCAAGGCCTCATCCCTAGTCTCGAGCCAACGGTCCACCGCGTCCACCGGGCTGACGCCCTGCTGATATCGAACCAAAGCAGGCGGTGGTCTACCATACAATGCTTCAAACGGAGTCGTCCGGATCACCCTATGATACGTAGAGTTATACCATAGCTCGGCCCATGGCAACAGGGCCAACCATCGCCGTGGCTGCTGGTGGGCAAAACAGCGCAGGTACTGCTCCAAGTATCGGTTGACCACCTCCGTCTGGCCATCTGTCTGGGGGTGGTAGGCAGAAATCATCCGCAATGTCGTCCGGGCCATGGCGAATACCTCCTGCCAGAATCTGCTCAAAAAGACCGAATCCCGATCACTGACAATCGATCTCGGAAACCCGTGATGGCGTACGACCCCCATCACAAACTTCTCCGCGACTGACCGGGCAGTATACGGATGCGCCAAGGCCATGAAATGAGCATACTTCGTCAGTCGGTCCACGACGACGAACAGGACCGTCTTACCGCCGGACGTGGGCAGGCCGACAATGAAGTCCATGCTGATGTCCTCCCAAACCCGCTCGGGAATCGGCAATGGCTGCAATAGATCGGCCGGCCGAAGATGCGACGTCTTGACCCGCTGACAGGTGTCGCACGATGCTACATAATCCTTCACATCCTGGCCCATCTGGGGCCAATAAAACTGCGCCCGGATCCGCCGCAATGTCCTCTCCGCCCCGGAATGCCCTCCAAAAGGAGAGTCGTGATACTCCTGAAGCACGGTCGTCACCAGGGAGGATCCCCGCGGAAGAACGAGCCGCCCCAAAAGAACACCAACCCCTGACGGAACGAGTAGTGGCCCGGAGCTTCACTAACTGCGGTATCCCAACAACCCCGTAAATAGGCATCCATCTCCGTCAAGGCTCAGAGCGCATCCCAAAACTGAGGCACTGGTCCCGTCACTGCTGCCAGTATCTCTCCCCCAGGTCGCCTCGAAAGCCCATCTGCCACGACGTTGGA